ATCAAATAGTTTCAGACGTCTATGGATAAGCCTCTTTATTGTAACCCATGCCACCCATTTAATCCCCGAAAATTACCTCGATACATTTTAAGAATTTTATCAGGATACAACTTCCGGTTGAGGAAGGGATAAAACCAGAGGCTTCCGAGTATCCCAATCCGAGGTCTCTGGTTTTATTCTTAATCTGTAACCCAAACCGGAACTAGTTGTATCCCAAGAAAAATCTTAAAATGTATTCAAGGATTAAATGAGTGGTTTAAAGTAGGTTAGTGATTGATTTATTAACAAAATAAGAGTTTGATGTGGGGGTGCCTTAAAATGAGTTAGGTACTTAGTGGTAAATATAAGTAGGGGGTACCCCCTATACAAAACAAGTGCCTGTGCATGAAGGCCTGCGAAGAGAAGTGGATGTAGGCGAAATCCTGTCAAATTCTCTAAATAGAATAGATAAAACCCTGAGAGATTAGAAAACACATTTCAACACTTCAATACATGTACAGTGATTCTTCTTCCTTTATTCATATTTTTTTTCTTGAAAGTGTTAGAAAACGGTTACTATGATGTCATGCTTTGTTACGTTAAATTGTTTAGCGAGTGTCCCGTGCAAGTTTTCACGATGTGTTCCCGTTATGTTTCTCCTCTCCGCTCATTCCTTGCCTTTTTGTTTGTCAATAGACACTTGCTAAGGTCTTTTCGAAATCAAAAGGTCAAGGAGCTTCTAAAGTTTGAGGAAACCTACTAAATATGGTACAAATTACAGAATCTATAGTTCCTTTTTAAAATAGGGTATTTTGGAGCTTTGATATAAAAAAAAATGTTTTTTAATGTAATCACGATGAAATTTTTATATTATTGAGCATAGAGAATGGTATCGGTCGTTGTAATATTTTCATCAATACATATGTACTATGTATAATTTTTGCAACTTAGACTCCGTCATGTATTGTCATTTTTGTGCTGAATGCATAAAGAAACCTAATACTTCCTTGTGATTAACACAATAAATTACATTGAATTTCACAAAAAAAAAATATCCTTAGGCAACTCTTAATATGGGGTAACAATCTGTACAGGGAGGGTATGAACTAGGGCTGAAACAATACGGCCCCTCCACGATACGATACGTATTGCAATACTTGTGTCACAGTTCAATTTTTTCAATACGATACAATTTAAGAAAGAAAGTATTCATAAGTTTAAAGAAAACGTGTTCAAATTTAAAAAAAAAAGTAAAAGGTAGTGATACAATAGAGAAATACTACCAAGGGTATGCAGTTTAATTATCCAAATCAAGTACTAGCCCACGGGCTAATGGCAGCATTAAACTTACTAGCCCAAAGTAAGAAGTAATTAGCCTCAATACAGGGACAAAAATTAAAATAAAACTAATGTTAAATAATGTAATTTAACTAATGTAAATATTAATCATTGAAAAAGTCATGCTACTAACTACTAAGGCCATTCTTTTTAAAATTCAAGTATAATTCTCACTATCAAAATTAAATCATATAAAATTAATGATGATGAAAGAAAAAAAAATGAATAAAAAAAATTATCTGATGTCCTTTTCTGATTATTTTGCACTAGCTCATTCATGAAATTAAATTCATCTTGTTTTCATATTAAATCATTAAATACACTAGAAATATATTAAATGTGAATCACAATACACTGCTCTTTCAGTTGATTGGGTGATCGTAAATATTTTAATGAGATATATGCCAATCTTCCGTGCAGAGTTGTCGTTCGTTCTTCTCTCAGACACCTCTGCAATGGGCTCACGTCAAGATTTTTGACATACCGTATAAAACGTGATATTTGCGGGATTTTTATGCCCCCGGATCGAAAGATCGGGGGTATATTGTTTTTGTCCTCTCTGTCTGTCTGTCTGTTTGTTTGTTTGTCCCCCAACTTTAACCTAGCCCATAACTATTGAGTGGTTGGGGCTATGGCTTTCATAATTCATAGGTGCGTTACTTGTGACATGACCTTTCTTTGGGTACCACCAAATTTGACCTCTTGACCTTGACCTGGGAGATTGACCTACTTTTACAAAAAAATACCAGAGTTTAACCTTGGCCATAACTTTTAAACAGTTGAAGTTAGGGCTTTCATCCTTCACATGTATATTCATTTTTACAAGACCTTTCAGACGGTAGAAATATTTTTGACCTTTTGACCTTGACGTAAGAGTTTTACCCACTTCTTAAAAACATTAACCTTGGTCATAACTTTTGAACAGTTAAAAGTGGGGCTTTTATATTTCACAGGTGTAATTCTTGTAACAAGACCTTTCTCTGGGTACCACCATATTTGACCTCTTGACCTTGGAGTTTGTCCTACTTTTACAAAAAAAAAATACCAGACTGCCCAACTCAAAAATTGTGTTACCACCGGGGGCATAGTGTTTCACAAACACATCTTGTTTCAAATTAAAATAATAGTTCTGGATTTATTTAGTAAATATTTATCTCGAAACTCAGACATAAGCATAAAAATTGAATTATAAATTTTTATAATGAATTAAAACAAACGCACCATTTCTTCTGTTTATCATTTGATATACGCGAGCCAACGACAAAGGTTAATGTATGAGCCGATGGTGAGAGTGATATATGCAGGTATTTACAATGACCGGAGGAATGGAGGAAATTCGGATTATGAACAAACGATCGTTTTTGGAAGTAAATAAGTTAGGTAGATCATCAATAATGGAGAAAATTATGGAGATTTGTTGACAGTAAGAGCATGCTGCCTAGAAAATATTCATTGGTTGGGAATTGATAGCATGTAAATAAAATTAATTTCATCACAACATGTATTGGTAACAATCCTCTAAAAACTAATGTCCAAATAACTGTATCTCACTTCCATTGTCAATGACCGTGTAGTGTAGGACAGCGTTGTGAGAATTCCATCGGCATCGAAAGCAAGTTTTAAAACTTGCCTAGATAGCCGAGCGGTCTAACGCGCTAGCTGTTCCTGCACTGCTAGGAGACAGATTCCGTAGGTCGAGAGTTCAACCCCGGGCTGGGGCGGAAGTGAGTATCCTTGTAAAAGTGAATTTCTCTGTGCTTTCTATATTAATATTTCTTCACTTAGGGCAGTTATATTAGTTTAAGAGTTTTTGTAATTTGTGCTTTATATATTATATATATATATATATATATATATATATATATATATATATATATATATATATATATCCGTTTCTTTGAAGAGGAATGCGCTTTTAGTTGTTTAGATCAAAAGAAGTTGCAGGGAGGGCGGTTTTTTTTAATTGTTGATATCAAAGATGGTGGGAAGTGCAGCTTCTAGTCCATCCCAGACTTTAACTCTAGTTCTCATTCTCAAGGTTATGCCCCGAAAACGATCGATTTTAGGCCGAGGCATGCTACTGACAGATAAGTTTGTTACAGGGAATTCACCAACCTTGTTTACTTACATGTTATGGTCGCTATATTGATCTTTTCACAAATATAACCTATAACTGGATTCATTTTGACCGATGTGTTTCATTCTAATTTTTAGGCTTTTAATTTTGTTAATTTTTATACTGAATTTGACTAGATGGGATGTTCTGCCCACCTGATCACTATAATACGGCTCACTTTCTAGACACCAGCTTTCCAGGATTTTTGTGTTATGCCCTATTCATGGTTTTGTACATGTAGTTATTTATGGATGTGGATTTTAGAAAATATTGTCAAAAATAAAGTTATCATGCTTGAAGATAACTGAAATCGTGTAGTGATTAGAATGTACAATATATACACGGGATGATAGGTTTATTTCTATTATTCTTGAAAAGAGGGAAAAATTGAAACCGAAATATAAATATACAGATACTGATAAATCCCGTAAAACAACTATCCACTTCAAAAAATGTTCAAACTCTGAGGTGGGGTGAATATTCAACAGGGTCTATTTTCAACTCGTTGAAGTCATCGGGGATAAGAAAAAAAAATTAAGCTGTTGAAAAATGACCCCGGGTATGAATTCAACGACTTTTGGTTTCAATTTTCAACGTTGAAAAAACACCCCTGGTTCAATATTCAACGTTACAACGGCATGTGATGTTGTCTATATACGAAAGAAAAAAATCTCGGTAGGGACGTCAAACAATAAACACAAACAGGCAAACAAGATCAAAGTAGAGTACCCCTGCCTTCCATATGATTATGATGATAAAGTCACAAAGGCATAATCTAATAAGGAGCAATTACAAAAAAAAAATAAATAAAAGATGGATACCCTATACTTTTATCATACAAAGAATGCCAGTGTCAATTTTTTGCTCTGGTAAAACCGAAATATGTTTCTGATAAAAAAGTAGAATAGGTGGTCACAATGACACCATGTAACGAAGTTTCTGTGAAATTGATTCAATGACAGAAGAGCAGTTGTGCATGAGAGATGGCCACCCCAAAGCGTTACAGACGGACGGACATCCTGATCTCTCTCGTATACCTTCCCACTTTTCAAGCGGATGCGGGTATAATCCTGATTCTTATTTTGTCTTGTTGTAAAATTCTCCAAAAACAAAGAAGAAACAAATTAATGAAAATAACATATATACACATGTTTTACGTATACTCTTTTCTTTGAAGACATGATATATTTAGCAATTCTGGAAATATCAAATCTATATTTATATCCTTTATCTCTTGATCTATAAATACACACTGAATCACACCTAGCATTTAAAAAAACCAAACAATTATCTTTCTGTTTGTTAGTCGCTCTCTCTCTCTCTCTCTCTCTCTCTCTCTCTCTCTCTCTTATCCATCATATGTTTTAAAAGATAAGTTCCTCATTTTAAGAGTTGTTTGCATCTTAGAAATGTGATATTTTCCCGAAATAATTGAAAAAAAATGATATTTCAAAATCTTTATTGGTCATGTTAATAAACGATACAAGGGAATCTGTTTCAAAACATTTAACTTAGTAATTTTTCAATTGTATTGTGAACCAAAATATATTTATTTATTATGCTTTTCGATATCTATTTATGTCTGTAACAATTTTTTTCTTTTACATTCTCTTAAAAGAAAACACAGGGCAATAAATATAAGCTGAAAAGCAATGGCTGCATATAACCCTATTGAAAAATTATCCACGACACCAGAAATTACATTGGATGATACAATAAGAGAAATAGAAGTGGCGTAAAACAAAACAAAGTAAAGTATATATACCACTTTTCTCGACAAAATATGACAGAATGCCCACGAATGACAGAAAAATATGTTTGCAACAACACCAACTAATAGACTTGATATAAAACAAGGTTTCTTTGTACAGTTTTCGTAAAAAATATGTTTTTGTTTGAGTTTTCGAAAGCAAAGTATGGTTAAGATTATAGAAATGATAACATGGCCTATGAAAACATATAAAGCCGGCTTCCACCCAACAACCGATGCAAATGTACCAAACATAACGATTCGAATAAAAATTTCAATACCTCTTTCAAACAACAGAGCAAGTGAATAAGCAATTTTACGCCAAAAAGATACACATTTATTTTTGTAGGATGTTTCAAGAGTTCTTTTGGTATGTTCCAGTCTTCGGTCTTCGTCTTTATTAAGGTACTTCGTGGCAAAAAATACACTTAGAAGGGAGGACACAAAATTAATGACTAGAGAAATATCCTGTGTGTTGTACAAATCTGTAAAAGAAAAAAAATGAAATTCTGTTATCAGAAATCCAGAAAATCGCCAGATTAAAATATCATAGAGAATAATACTTGTGCATTTTGTTTTGATTTGATACTGCCTCTTTGATTTGAACATATTTTATTGTAATATAATAACAAAGGGATTGAGCACAAGTACTGAATACTTAATTATAACGCCCTCTCCCTATTGCCTCTTTAATATTATCTTACAGAATTCATAATATTAAGAAGAGCAATACGCGACTATATAGAGAAAAAAGTTTCTTTATCTAAAGTTTATCTTGGATGCGTGCCAGCTTTTGCAATATTAATCTTAATGAGACATTTACAATTTTATTAAAATGCACTTACCGATGTTAAGATCTTTATTTTTATATTTCATAAACCACAATAGAATCGTCTGAGGAATGCCCTCCAGCGCAGCCTCAGTCAGCCAAAGGAACGTCAAAGCTTGTAAATACCATCTCGTTCTCCAGCGTTTCCAACCCATTCGAATTGTCCAGAATAATCTGGAAGCAATAGTTAAATATCTTTCAAATAAGGTATATTAAAGAAGAAAGAAAAACTAAGCATGTATCTCAGTTTTTAGATCCTACTTTTAAATACGATTAGATCTTGGTTTATATTAGCTTAAATGACTGAACTCGTTAAAATAAAGACAATTTTAAAAACATTACTTGTTAAATATATTCAAGACTTTCTTCATTCAATAATGAATGAGGACATGATTAAATCATCAATTACAGGTTATATTTTTTAACATGTTCAGTATATATTTTAATTTGGTTTTTTATAATTTTGTTTTTTTTTTGGCTGGAAGGTAGGATAATGAGAAAAATTGATTGAATGATTGTATACTGTTTAACGTTCCTCTCCAGAATATTTCACTGATATGGAGACGTCATCATTGCCGGTGAAGGGCTGCAAATTTAGGCCTATGCTCGGCACTTACGGCCTTTGAGCAGGGAGGGATCTTTTTCGTGCCACACCTGCTGTGACAAGGGGCCTCGGTTTATACGGTCTCATCCGATGGACCGCCCCATTTAGTCGCCTCTTACGACAAGCAAGGGGATACTGAGGACCTATTCTAACCCGGATCCCCATGGAGGATAATGAGATAAAAATACATGAGATAAAAATACAGATAAAAAGAAAATACTCACATGCAGCTTTTTAGAAATGGAAAACATGCAAGCAGTACAAGCATTAATCGCCGGCGTTTATTTGATGGATCCACGTGGTAGAATAGATGATAAAGCACCAGAAAATATGACAGAATTATCGGAATTATGGTTAAAGCCAAATTTATAAGAGCGGTTACTTTCTCCCCATGCTCCAAATAATAGTAAACCATGAACGAATCTTGGAAGAGATCGAACATATATAAGAAGATTACAATTGCTGTTGCAATCACTACAACACATTTCCCAAATTTATTGCATATTAATTTGCTTATAGATGTGTCCAATTCTTTTTCACCAGAAGTGTACTCATTCTGTTCATTAGACACTTTTACGGCATGCAAATTCCTATTTGATTTAGTTTCTAATATGTTTATGTCGAATTCAAGAAGAGCCTTCAGCTTTTCCTTTACGAGGGCACAAAACAGAAGGAAAATGAAGAAGAGGATGGTGAATGATCCAAGAGCAGACTCGAAACAGATGATCTGTTCCTGTGAAAAACCGAGGCTTTTTGCAGGGAAAACTGAAAGAATTGTGAAACAGATAATTTAAAAGGTTCAACATTTCCTTCAAAAATGTGAAGTTTATATAATAAAGAAGTTTCAAACCTTTATTCATGTTGTATATTAAAAAAATAACTCACCTGAGTTGTTCATTTCAATCATTTTTACGCTGTGAAGTTGAGGCACTGGAAAATAATTTTTAAAACAACACACCGCTTAATTGAAGATTACAGCTATAACGACGCAGTATGTTTGAGAGTCAAATTATGTTAAAAGATAGAAGTCGTCAAATTCATTTGAATCTGTTTTAATAATAACAGCTGTCGATGTCTAAATTCCTTTGTTAAGGGAAGAAGAGCACACAAGAGTACACTAAAGCGCACACTGAAGGCCAGTATTTATTCCACAATTTAGTATTCAATCTTAATAAATGATATTTATATACTGGGTATATATGGAAATTCCAAATGTAATAATAACTTTTTATCTCGTTCTATTTATATTTTCTGAAATACCCGCATGCATGTGTATTTACAGAAAACGATATACATGGATATACAAATGTGTTTATCTACCAGTTGATTGCGATAAAAATAGATTGATTTTTACAAGTTACCTATCTCAACGCTTGAAGGGCGGTTAAAAAACAATATGATATTTTATTGTATAGAGAAGTATTGATACATCTTTATATTGCTAGGAGAAACACCTAATACGCAAGTCCATAGGTATCGACTTAAGTTTGGAAGGGGAATGTCTAAGCAAAACATTTTCATTTGGGGCCACTTTTAAGTACCGACAATTCCTTGACATGCAAAGGAGGGTAATCAGATTTTTAAAAAAAATTTATTTTGGGGGCACAAGCATATATATAAAGAAACAAAATAAGTAAGAAACATATATTCAAGTCCTTGTCTACTGACTGTAGGAACAGTCATGAGACAAGAATTTCATTATAAGTTTCTTCTCTCTTTCTTTGTTACAATCTTGAATGCAAATTTGAACAGGGAAAATGATTACTTGATCTATAAATAGATAGGAGAAATCTGCATTACATAATGAATAAAAAATAAAACTTTTAAAAAGTAAAACTGACATACGATTTATTTATAGATCAGATAAAGCGTCATTAATTTCAATCGATTTTCTTAATTTTAAATTAAAAAGAAACTATTTAAATAATTTTCAGAAAACTTTATATGGCTTTGTTAGTTCTGATATTATTAACAATCATAATAACATTTATTTTAAAAATTGCGGATTTCAAGGATTCTGTGTCTGTACAATAAAATACAAAAAGAAAATACAATAACTTTTTGCACAACACCGCCTTTTTGCAATATGTAGACTAAGATTGATTATTATAAACAGAGATCACTAATTTCTTTGTTAGATATCCCTAACAAGAGGCCCAGGGGCCACAGCGCTCACCTGAGCACATCGGGCTTGAATTTACTCCCCCCCCCCCTCTAGGCATTCATCATTTGAACAAACTAGAACCTACATTACCTGAGGCTGATTCCATATAAATATCACTAATCATAGCTTTGAAGTACTTGAAAAGAAGATTTTAAAAGGTTTCCCTATATATCCCTATGTAAAATTTGGGTCGGCCATTTTGGCCCCACCCTAGCCCCGGGGGTCATGATTTGAACAAACTTGAATCTATACTACCTGAGGATGATTCCACATGAGTTTCATCTTTCCTGGCCCAGTGGTTCTTGAGAAAAAGATTTTTGAAGATATTTCCTATATATTCCTATGTAAAACTTGGGTCGGCCATTTTGGCCCCACCCTTGCCCAGGGGGTCATGATTTGAATAAACTTGAATCTACACTACCTGAGAATGATTCCACACGAGTTTCATCTTTCCTGGCCCAGTGGTTCTGGAGAAGAAGATTTTTAAAGATTTTTCCTATATATTCCTATGTAAAACTAGGGTCGGCCATTTTGGCTCCATCCTTGCCCCGGGGGTCATGATTTGAACAAACTTGAGTCTACAGTATTTTAGTACGATTTGCATGTAGATTTATTTTATTTTTTAATTCCTTAAAAATTTTCTGATAATGAAAGAACTATTTTTTCTATATTAGCATACTTTTTTAAAAAAAAGTTATATCATTGGTATGTTATTTTAAAAACATTAAAATTCTTAATCTTCAAAAAGCAGCTTCTTGGGTAAAAAGTTATAGTAAATCAAAGTATCAAAGTACTTACTATAATCAATTACTATAGTATATTATAGTTAACTAAAAGCAATTCTGTTAGAAAATATTGATTTTAAAATTTGTCTTGTTCTCGTCTTTCAGACTTGAGTTGGTTTGAAGGATTGACATAAACAAATCAACCTAACTTCTATGCATAAAACAATTTAAATTTCCAGGGGGAAATCATAAAGATTGATGTTTATTTGATATTTTCACTCAATTTTTCTCTTATCCACATTCGCAGTAAAAATAACAAGGGTTGGCATACAACTGTTACAAAACCAAAAACTATATGGAAATCTCTTTTTTCCGAGGACAACATATCAGAAATACCAAGAGCAAGATTTACAGCGTAGAAAAATATGTAATAACGAAAATGAAAATATTTTTTCGACCATCTTAATCGAAATAGCCATTCATAGCAAAAGAAAAGGTTGGCAAATGCACCAACTACAATACTTAAGAGACCAAGTGCTTCAATACTCTTATTATTTGTAGTTATCGTATAGAAACAGAAAACCGAAATGCAAATGTATATACATAAGTATACTCCAATAACAATGCTAAGCGCCTTAAAACCAAACTCTTCGGCAAACATTATATAAATTATGCATCGTGAAATATATTCAAACGATTTACCAATAAACACTACAACAGTATAAAAATACCAAAGAGAAGTGTTTTCAGATTTGTAATTTTCCCAGTATTGTTCTTCGCCTTCAGTGGAATTTCTTTCTTTTAATTTCTCATCGAATATTTCTCTGACATCCTCCTCTCTATCCAAGGTCATTGTAACAGAAGTGATAGATAATGATACTGCAAAAAGGGAAACAATCATTGTCCAAATCTCTGTTCTTCCAATACCTTTGAAAAAAAACTTGTCAGTTTTAATAAGTTCTTTCGTCTATACTTTCACATCAACTTTTTTAAAAAAAAAAAGAGTCGCAGGCATTTTTTATTTATTTCATTTTTTTCTTTCTTTAATTTCTAACTGCATTTTAACTATAGAATAGACTTTTTAAGAATCGACTTACCTTTGTAGACGGTTTGGTTCTCCGATAGAAATAGATCACCTTCAAAATAATATTAGCTGTGGAATACCTTCGATGCAAACTTCTAATAGCTGAAGAAAGGTTAGAGCATGAAGATACCATCTCTTATACCACGACTGCTCTCCAAAGACAACTATCGAACCGTATCTGTAATGGCAATATATTTTCTATTTAAATCATGTTTGATTAAAAAAATAAAAAGAAGTACTTGTAGGTAAAACACAAATTCTGTGTCATTTTAACAAGAGGTTCAAACGAAACATGGAGATAGCGAACGGTATTCGATATCAAAAGTCCTTAAAACAATACAAAACGAGAGCAAAGACGGACCTTCAAATCACGAGAGCTGGGGATAAGGTGCCACGGAGGAGTGAGAATCGCCTGCCGACCAGTCACACTCGACGTGTGCTCCTTTTCATGATCGGGAAATAACGGAAAAATCCGTCGGCAGTTCAGTGTATAAATAATGAACTAACAATGAGTATGAAAAAAGTCAGTCAGCATTTGACTCAATGAAAAATTATAGTTGCTGCCAAGGTCATTGTATCGAACATAAAACTTACAAAATGATGATTTAAACGAGAATGCTAATATTCTTTTTTCATCAACTTGTTTGTCAATAATTTACCTCCTTTAAGAAATTGTTCATCTGTAGTGCATTTTCTTGTTTCAAGGGTTTCCACTCTGTCTGTCAAACTACGTCTGTCAAAGATTTAAATTTTTCTTTACAATTTTTTTGTCTTTAGCAAATCAATATAATTTATAAAAAAGATTTTAACTGAATTATTGTTCAGACTACCAAGAAATTTATTTATTATGGATAGGTTTTGAAAATATATTAACACATGAACAGAGAGAGATAGAGAGAAAGATCAACAATTCTATAAAGAGAAAACCTTACATAAAAACTTTGGCAAAAGGAGACATCACCAGAATAACTGCAATAGATAAACAGTTCCGTCCTGATAAACAGGTCTGTCCCTCACATGTATGTTTCCATTCTGTGTAGAGAAGAATAAATATCGCAAAGACAACAGAGATCACGTACGGACCATAAGTTAAAAAAGCATTGTGCATTTTTCTTTTTTTTCAATATTCCAGTGTTAAAATCAGGTCCATACACCAGTCATACAGGAACATCGACATTAGAAAGAAATAAATGATACGCCATAAAGTTGAGAAGCAGTTCTTAGATTTTGGACTTTCAGACGATGTTGTATGTTGTTGATCTCTCTGGGTTTTATCTATGTTCTGTGTTCTGTCCGAATGTTCTGGAATTTGATTAATCAAACCCGGCGGGCTTTGTTGCTGTGGAACTATTCTTTGCTGCATTATAGTATGGGGCGGCATAGTAATGGTATCATTATTGTAAATCACGGTTGAGGTAGAGGTAAACACAGTACTGGATGCTGGCCAAACATTTTCTGCATTCATCCACATTCCAGTATGGCTGATGGAATTTGTAGGAATTCCGACCATTCCAGCGGGTCCTTCGTCTCCATCTGATACGGCAGAATGATCTGCTACACTGATACAGGGAGAAACTCTATTTCTTCTTTCAACCCCTATATCCAGTTTCAACTGAAGACAGTTACTCAGTTTTTCCCCCAAACCTTTCAAAAGAGGACATATACATGCAGCAACTACAAACGCTGAGATCCTAAATACCACCTTGCATGTTATTGAATCTGGATATAAAGAAAAGGAATGTATTCATTAATTGTGTCCAACCTTTGTGAAACAGGTAAATACATGTACCTTTATCCTGATAGATTACAACTTTCGATTTCTGTATTTTAAATGCACGGAATGTTACACGATCAAAAATGTGCTTGCAAGGCATGTTAT